TTGATGGAGTTTTGTTCTCTGAGCTGGATAGTTTGATCGTGGAACTTCTACCTAAAGTTTGTGCTGATTATGCCGTTCAGAATAACGATGAAAGCTCCGCGACTAAACCATCCAGTTCAGAGAACAAAACTCCATCAAGACCATCCACCTGAGTTACAAATCTTCTCCATCCCGAGAATGGACATGATAAGAAGTGTTCAATCTAGGGCTGTAGATTATGACTCGTCCTCCTAGATTTATCAGTCAGTCGGCTACAACGTAGGACCAGGCTCACGTGTGCATCGGTCCGAGTTGCTATACCATCGTTTTATATTCTAGGATGGATGATTTTGTGAATTAATGTACACCAAAATCCTAAGTAAATTTCATTACAAGCTATGGATTTTGACCATTCATCTCTTATAAGGTTATTAGATGATTAACATCTAGAAAACCACGAGAAATAGCTAAAGAATTCCCACATAAATGAAGAGTAAACTGTATTGCTTCTCCATAATGATAAGGTAATGTGAAGTAAATAGTCACTTCTAAGTACTGTATGCAGGTTTCGGAGAAATAGCATACATATATCGTGTGGGATTACGGACTTCTAACTAGTGGAACTTGTCCTATCCAACTTAAAATCAGATCGAAAGCTCAAACATTTAGTTTGGGCCTTGCTTCAGGAGGTGAGAGATGATATTTCGCAGCATTGAAAGGCTTGGTAATCGGGGTGAAAGAGAAGCTACAAATCGAGGAAGGAAATGGTTGTCAGGACCAAGTTCGGTTGGTGTATCAGTGATTGATACTCTCCAACTGAAAATAACGTAGAAGGATTATTCTTGTTGAACGACAGGAATAGTATTAAGGCTGCAACACTAGTTATCCTCAAAATCAACCACACAACCAGGATAAATGACTAGATCGGAATTCTGGGGTCTGAAAACAAAATCACTGGGAATGGTAGCTATGATCTGCGAATTAAATCGACTTGACACCATCTAAGCAGTGCCAAAACGTGGGTGGTGTATTAAACAATACTACTTCACAGCCGAATATTGTACTAAACTATTTTGAAATGTTGTATTCAACATCATATCTTCTTACCCCACCCTACTTATTTCGACTAAGTAAGTTAATTAGAAATACTGACCTTCACACACAAACTGTCAGTCATTTGTGGACGGAGTGATCACAAGGGCTTGAAACTGAGTACATGAACTTATACTGTTACCTAGATAGATTTAAAAAATTGGTTGTTCTAAGAGGTGTTTTCTTACTAACTATTAAGCGTGTCATTACTACTCATTAGTTTTTCCAATATGTATTAAAAGAAAGGATCCCGAAAACTTCATTTAAATTTATGGAAGGGATGAAGTGCATGAACTCAGTCATCAACAATGTAGAGCCTCGCATAGATGTGCATTGGCCCAAGTTGCTAAACCTCATAGGCACGAGATGAAAATAACAAGATGAATGGGAAGAGACAGAAATAACGTACCAGTCTATATAATTTCATATTACCATAACACCTATTACCTGTGGAATGCAAGTTAGTGGTAGCATAAGAAAATATTTAGGCTGTCTTGAACGATACGTACAAACAATATGAAGTCAAGAAATATAGTCATCTTTTATTTCAGCAACTCGTTTATGTGCTAAGTATAAAAACGCAATACTACACATAGCACTGATAAGAAAGATTACGTCAAACCAACGATGATAGAAATGAAACTGTAAGTCACCAAGTACTTGATTTAACATATTCCTATACTCTGCAGTCATATTCATACGTAAAAGCAATACAGAAGAAACAAAATAAGTACCCATTATTTGTGCTATGATTAAAACAATTATATTCGATGATTTTGTGCTGGCTATAGCATGAAAGAATTTTGTTAAAGTTATCAAGAGTCCACGAATTGACGTTACAACAATTATACCGACGAGCCAAAAAGATATTTGTTGTGACCAAAATTTTACATCAATTTGAAAGCCTAGATAATGTATAGTTATACCCATAAAGCGTGTTATAGGATCTTGTCCACCGAATCGATTCAATAAAATATTTACAATGGATATAAATATTTTCCAACAGCAATAACCACAGAAAAAGTAGCCAAGACAATTGAAATATTTCCCTTTCCATGTTTTTGAAAATTCAATACGTTCTTGGGCAGTTCGGAGGTAGTGCAGTTCCAGAAATAATTGACGGCTTAAGTCCTCAAGGACAGATATCTATATATTTTAAAAGAAAACAAGAGAAATTTACGATGAATACGAAAAATAATCCTCGTGTTAGATTTTCCTACTGAACATAAGAAATAGTGAAAACTTTCAGGGTAACTTAAGAATTCTAAATAAAAAGGAAAATGATTCTATACAGTATCACAACACAAGAGTTCTAAACAAGTATTCAGTTGAATTTTAATAAGACTAAAATGTTTTGCCGTATGACTGCTGTCAAAAATAACAATGACATCAGTCGAAATGGGAGTATAAGGTAATAAATAACTAGGTGATAATGTTTGATTAAAACTCCTGGCTTATACAGTTGCAGCGGTAAATAAATCCCCAAAATAAATAGCTCTGTAAGTTTTCAACATTGGATGCTGGCCATATGTTTTAGTGGACCCATCTAGCTGAAGGCGCTCGATCAGGCATCCGCACCAGATCACGTGTGGTAACGCTGTGCTCAACATCTACCGCAATCGCTAGCCAGATTAGATCAGAGAATTCCGATATATTGGTTATCGCCAAATACACTCTTCCGATCACCTCGACTCTCTATTTTGATTTCTCTTGGTGGGTACGAACTATATTAGGTGTTGCTGGTAAAAGCGTTGTCAAACACTGAATACGTGTCATCTTCACAGTCAACAGTAAGTAAGCGATGAAAATTCAGAATGCCTGATGTTTGCTTTCAAAAGTCCAAGAAAACTAACTTAATAGTAGTGAAAAGTAGTTTCAATTATTATTCTATAAGTTGTAAAACGTTGGTTGAATAGCTGTCCTACTTATTTTGAAGCAACTACACATTTTTTCACCATTAATGACCACACTATTGGAAACGATAATAACCATAGATTTTGTTAGCAAGATTTCCTAGGCTGTAACTGTGATACATTCCGAGTATGCTGGGCTTTGTAAAAACATTTTTTGATCATACTTCGAACATTATCATAATATTAAATAGCAGGAATTTGTATTGGATGAACATGACTGAAGCGTAACATGGAATTAATAACTATAATTTAAAGCCCCTGGAAGAACCACACTCGTAAAAGTGGACGGTTGTTATTAAGGTTTTATTCTAAAGGTAATATCCTTTTTATTAGGGGCTTTCTGAATATATTAGTGTAGTATATCTGACGTCACAATTTATAGATATATAGCCTTTTAATTGCACGAATTCCTACATTCTTAGTTCTTTTTCATGAATTACATAAAATAAAAATGCGGTTACAGGAGTTGAATTTCGATTATTAAGCCATATATTCGGATCACAAACAAGGGTTAAAATACGAACTTTTACTTGGCTAGTGAGCTTAACTCGATCCAAATCGATGGTCTGGAGACTGGAAAAAACAGGTGATTAAAGGTCACATTATTTTAAACTTAAGAGTGCCTATCAAGATAAAAGATGTTAAGACAAGAATCGGTTTTAATACAATTTAGATTCGGAACTGAAAATTAATTTTTTAAGACAATAGCTAGACAAATGACTCAAATATGGTAACAGTGTATAAATAAAACACTAACCTCATGTTTCAATAATTTTTCGTCAATACGAGGTGATGAAATGGACATTCCAACTGTCCGTAACATATTCCAAAAGGTGTTGGATTTTTCGTTGATAGTACGCTGAAATTCACATAAAAACATTTTGCGGTAAAACCTGGAAGCTACATAACGACTAAGTTCTGAAAAAAATAACACTCAATGAAATAAAGGTCGAATGCCCAAGTGTTGGCCTCCAGAAAAAACCAGCTGTCTCCGTTTGGGCGCACAAGTAGTATCTCAGATCTTTCACAAATATAACTGAGTTATAAAGAAAGTGGTATACCTGCTTTGTTGTGGACTAACAAAACGCAGCAGTCTGATCTGTGGTGTTGAAGTTAATAGAATAAAGCGGCACACTGAGTTAAAAAATATGTCTACGGCGTAACATGCATAATAGGAAAAAAACAGACAATCTCAAAACAGAAATTAAAAACACGCGATGGACTAACTTTCATTCTTGCCTCAAATTGAAACTGAGCTAGTCTTCGACGCTTCACCAAAATCATATCTACAGTTTGTAACAATCTTCTCTCAGCTGTGCGTATTTCTGAGTTTGAAACGGACAAGGCGAAGTAAGTCATACATGAATACGGATAATTGACAGCGCCAAAACCGGATAAAAAAGCCATTATAGTTACTCCAACTACTCCTATTCGACCAATACATTGCTCCAAGAATACAATGCCATGTTTTCCACTCAAAATAGGGAAAGATGTCCCCACTTTCCAAAAGGCATATAAATATGCAGTCATAAGTGCAAAGGAGAAACAAAGTCTAACTGAATTTTTAGGAGGGATAACTCGTAAACTCTTACTGATATAAAATGATATGTAAAATGGTATGATTATTATGACATCTAAGAGTGTTGTTAAAAGAATAAACTGCCAATGTATGCGCCTAGAAGAGGCTTCCAAAATATCTAGTATTTCAAAAATTACTAATTCGAAAACTGTACAAGATAAGGAAAAAGTGAGTGAAAAGATTAGTACTACTATGGAGTTTTTGACTTCATAGTCACGAAAAAGCTGTCGAAGAAAGAAAACCCATCCTCCTATAAAGAAGGCTATCTGAGAAAAAAATAGGGCGCAAGAGTCTAGTAGGAAACTCATAATAAGCGCATGGCCTTGACATATCAACAAACACAATGTTGAGACTATAAATCCATACTAACCAGACATTTTTTGTGGCCATTTGTGTAAAATTATGTATGAAAAAGGAGTAATTGTGGAAACGAATTTGTTAGCGCGTTTTTTGATATTGGTGAAAACTATGCTAGTTGACCGAAGATGGATAATATCATAAATGAACATGAAAATAGCCCACTCCAGTCTGAAGATGACATTTTACAATGTGATAGATATGGTTTTCGTGGTGGCCAGCAGTATACAAATCCAGAGGAGTAGGTTAAATGAGTTTTTACATCTGGGTTATTCCATTTGTTTAATTTGTACATATCTCTTTGGAATCATGTGCCTAAAACCCCAATGCACTTTTTGAACGCGGTGATGCCTTCTCAACAATCCACCAATATGGTCCTATTTTGTAGATGACTGACTAACTATCACTGTGAAAATAAAATCTAATTACCAGTTTTTGTCACTTAATTTACTCAACCTCAACGTACATATTGAATCTCCCTATCTTTTCAAGATAAATCCATGTAATTCATAGTACTAGTTATTCGTTGCTGCTAGATAAGGAAACTGGCTAAGCCCAAACTTATTCTCCTTTACCAAAGCCTTCCAAATACTTCTACGTTGATGTAAGTAATACTTCATTGCATCGAAATGCCGTTTATCACGTTCCACATTTCTGTCTGTGCTCATATGGTCTACATGCTTTTAATCGAGCTCTTTTGGGTACCTGGTAAGCTCTATATGGTTCAACCTGTTTAATGTTAAAATGCTCAAGTTGAGTAGTTTCCAAGTACTTTCGTTAAAAGTCATCCAGAAATCTTCCTAACAATTTTGTATAATTAATTTCAATGGTTAAGATCATGAGTCAGTTGAAGCTAGACCACCATGGAAGCACTGGACGGCCGTTTCGCCCTATTGTGGGACTCCTCAGCAGTGCGCATCCACGAACTCGCCCCTTGCGAGACTCGAACCCATGACCTACTGGTTTCGCGCGCGAGCACTTAACCACTAGACCACTGAGCCGGCCGGCATCCAACGGTGTTAATGTCTAACTTCAACTAATCCACGAAATTGAGCGACACATCCACCATTGTCTTCAGTGGGTTATTATCTCACCACAGACCTGGTTGGACTCCACTGGTCACTACTTCTCACTAGAACTCCAGGATATACCTCTTGAAGCCAGTCACTATTGAGCATATGTTGGTCAATATCAGACCACAAACGAAGGTTGTTACGTAAGGAAATTGGGCAAAGCTTGCGTAAGGACCGAGAAGCCTGGTGGTCGGAGCGTGCTAATGAGCTGGAAGCAGCAGCTGCATCTGGTAATTACCGGAAGCTCTTCCAACTCATCCGAGCCACTGGCAGCCAGAAGTCTGGTGTGAGTGAAATAATGTGCGAGGATGATGTGATGCCAGTCACTAACATCCATCGACGTCTTGGACGATGGGCAGAATTTTTCGAAGGGCAGTTCAACTGGCCTGCTGCTCCGGCAACATCGGTCAGACTGCCCTGCCCTCCATGGCCGGTGACGACTGATCCACCAAATGAGGAGAAAGTCCGCAAGGAACTCCAACTCTTGAAGCGTTACAAATCACCTGGTCCAGATGACTTACCTCCGGCTCTTTTTAAAGATGGTGGTGACTTTCTGACTAAGGGACTGACAACGTTGTTTACAAAGGTTTGGGAACTAGAGAGTGTACCAACGTCATTGAATGAGTCGATAGTTGTCCCTATCTTTAAAAATGATTCACGTCGTTCCTGTAACAACTGTCGGGGGATAAGTCGACTTCCGATTGCATCCAAGCTATTGGCTTCCGTCATACTTCGTAGGTTGTTCAAAACCCGAGAAAGATTGACTCACGAGGAGCAGGCTGGGTTTCGTTCTGGTCGAGGATGTATTGATCATATCTTCACCCTCCGCCAAATGTTAGAACACCGCCATACTTATCAAAGGTCAACAATCGTAGTGTTCCTTGACATCAGGGCTGCCTTCGATTCGTTGGATAGGACTGTTCTCTGGGATTGTCTATTGAAGAAGGGTGTGCCTGAGAAGTTTATTAACATCCTGAAAGCCCTATATACAAACACCTCAGGCAGAGTGAGGGCATACAACCACCTTTCTCCATTGTTCTATTCGAGCAGTGGGGTTAGGCAGGGTTGCCCAATCTCACCATTCCTCTTCAACTTTGCCATCGATGACACTCTGGAAACAGCTCTGATGAATGTAAGTAATGGTGGTGTGGATCTGTTGCCTGGAGAAATACTCCTCGACCTTGAGTATGCGGGCGATATTGTCTTACTGTGCGATAATGCTCAAGCCATGCAATCCGCACTTAATCAGTTGGCAGTCAGTGTCCGTAGGTATGGTATGTGCTTTGCACCTTCGAAGTGCAAAGTACTTCTACAAGACTGGCAGGACTCCAATCCTGTACTCACCCTGGATGGTGAGCAGATAGAAGTAGTCGAGAAGTTCGTGTATCTGGGTGGCTGCATAAGTGCTGGTGGGGGTGTGAGTGATGAGATTAATTCACGTATAGTGAAAGCCAGAGCGGCTTATGCCAATCTGGGCCACCTTTGGCGCCTTCGTGATGTTAGTCTGGCTGTAAAAGGTCGGATCTACAACGCGTCGGTGAGAGCAGTTTTGCTCTATGCTTGTGAAACCTGGTCTCTCCGAGTTGAGGACGTTAAACGACTCTCTGTGTTCGATCATCGCTGTCTCCGAAGGATTGCTGACATTCAGTGGCAACACCATGTCAGTAATGCAGAGGTTCGGCATCGTGTGTTCGGGCACAGAGATGATAATGCAATTGGTGTCACCATCTTGAAACACCGACTTCGGTGGCTTGGACATGTTCTCCGAATGTCGTCCCAGAGAATTCCACGTCGTGCATTATTTGCCGACTCTGGGACTGGTTGGAAGAAGCGGAGAGGTGGTCAGTGCATGACATGGTGTCGTGGCATGAAAGAAAGCTGCAAAGGACTGGCTTGTGTTGGTCCTTCACGACTCCCTGGTTGGGGTCTGAGAGATGGTGCTACACAGTGGCTAGAGACGTTATCAGATATGGCTCAGAATTATTTATTTATTTATTTATTTTTTAACACATAGATATTGGTACAAGAAAGCACCAAATACATATTCGCCACACAAATCTTATTCGATATGTGCGAGGGCTGTGATACTGCCCGGGTGCCCAAACCGAAGCAGGTGGTTTTCTTAGGGGGCCACTCCCCGAGCCTTTGACCTAGAGGTCTTACCCACAAGGCAGTGGAGCATCGTAAGGAGATGCAGTCCCATGGTAGCCGGTGACCAACGATTGGTTCATACGCCATTTGTTCCCGCAGGATACTGGAGCCCATGTGCACCATCAGTTTGGGATCCGGTTAAAGCGCCGGACATTCGCTTTTCGTCCTCTCATTTTTGTAAATAACACCCCCGCCACGAGAAGGCAGTGAGTAGGACTTCCCTGGCAGAGGCTATATACGCGTGGCCATGTGAGAGCATTTCGAGAGGGAGAGCGGACTTTCCCCACTCTCGGCCGTACCAGGGCATTTGGGGGCTGTAACCTTCTTTTACTTTCTTCATAAAAAGTAGTTGTATCTTCCTTAACTGAAAGATTTCTTCTGATTGTACCCTCGTGTTCCCCTACTATTACTATTATTGTTACACTACCTTACACCAATCTTTTCGTTATTGTTTTTTTTATATCCTGTTTTACGTTCCCCACTTTTTTCTCTTCTTAAATTCTCATTGTTTTGTGTGGTGCACATATATTAGGCGCACTCCTGTATCAATATATATGTGTTCAAAGAAACAACTAAATAAATCGGTGGTCTAGTGGTTAAGTGCTCGCGCGCGAAACCAGTAGGTCATGGGTTCGAGTCTCGCAAGGGGCGAGTTCGTGGATGCGCACTGCTGAGGAGTCCCACAATAGGGCGAAACGGCCGTCCAGTGCTTCCATGGTGGTCTAGCTTCAACTGACTCATGATCTTAACCATTGAATTTACTAATATATCCACAAAACCCATCTGAAATTTTGTATAAAACAATTTCGCTATTCGCTATTATCAACTGGCCCTTGTGGACTAATTTCAAGTCGAAGTATCAGTCAAAACAAATTTCAGCCCCTGATTGGGAATTAATTTTGGGACAATATCTTTGTTTTTGTTTGTCTTCCCTACAGACATACCAACGGTCCTCAGTTTCCTGGTTTGACCCTAAAATATAAAATCAACACATTTACTAGGTACTTGGATATGAACGACTCTGAATGTGAGGGCCAAAGAACACTAGTTGGATACCCAAACCTAAGTCGATACAGCGGGGGTCATAACTGGGACTTAATGCCTGAAAACCATACGCATCAACCATCGAGCCACCACTCAAAGCTCTATATTATTCCTTTGGAATAGTATCGCTAACCCTCACATTTGAGGGGTAGATGAAAGTCGAGTATACAAGTCTATACTTAATTACTATCATGATGTAATAAGTAATAAGCATTACCTGGACTTGAGTGGCTTTTCCTGTGAGAGATAAATACTACCTAGCTAGTCAAAGGAAAGCAGAGAGGAGCATGATGTGCTCCGGTTAAGATATTTACATCCTATATATCCTTCGAAAAGTCAAATACCAACACCTATGATTAAATTCTGACTTAAACTAGTGTGAGATTTTGTTATTAGGGATGACTCGAGTAATTCCTGAATTAACCTATATCATAATCTACATTATTATTATTATTATTATTATTATTATTATTATTATTATTATTATTATTATTATTTGAATACATAGATATTGGTACAAGGAGGCACCAAATACATATGCGCCACACAGATCTCATTTGATATGTATAAGGGCTGTGATACTGCTCAGGTGTCTAAACCGAAGCAGGTGGTTTTCTTAGGGGGCCACACCCGGAGCCTTCGACTTAAAAGTCTAATCCACAGGGCAGTGAAGCAACGTAAGGAGATGCAGTCCCATGATAGCCGGTGACCAACAATTTGTTCATACGCCATTTGTTCCCTTAGGATGTTGGAGCCCATGTACCCCATTGGTTTGGAATCAGGATTTTCCAACTTCCGTAGGTGGATCCTCTATATCCACCAACCCAGTTAAAGTGCCGGACATTCGCCTTTCGTCCTCTCAATTTCGTAAACAACAACCCCATCACGAGAAGGCAATGAGTAGGACTTTTCTGTCAGTCGTTATATGCATGTGGCCATATGAGAGCATTTCGAGAGGGAGAGTTGAATCTCCCCACTCTCGGCCGTACCAGAGCATTTGGGTGACTCGACCTCATCATTTTTACCCATTTCATTTACACATTTCAGTCTTGTTTTGATGAGGTGCCAGAAAAACTGCTTCGACAACCTCACGTATTGATCCCTTGTCCAAAGAATTTGTTCTACTGAAACAGTGATAAGCCTTGCTCGTCTTCTCTGTCTTTTATATGCTAGGAACCGGTAGTAAATCCTACCAGTTATTGTCAGTTCTACTACTTGGCTTTTTTCTAACACATGTCTCTTTTACCTTTCATATACGCGCGATACTACTTATTTATAATATGCCATAGATTTATGTGTAAATGGCGTTTATTCTTCAAAACATCCGTCTCATACTTTATTCCTTAAAGCGAATGAATCAACTCAAATATGTAGCCCACGGTTTTCAGGTCTGAGTAGAATATCTTCTTTTAGGATTTACTGTTCGAGGTCGTCACAGTTACATTTTTAAAATTACCAAAACAGTATAAGTGTAGTAATTACCTTGTAAAGTAAATCTGTTATTTGATGGTTAAGGATATAACCGAGTACTTGTCTTTGAGTGGTAAATCCGGTAATGCAAGTATTAGTTCATGACTTTAACGATTTAACTGTTTACGCAGCAAATCTTCGTAGTGTCTTCTGTAATTCATGGTTCATACAATTAGTGAATGATTTTGCCAAAAACATAACTTTGCGCATGTTTTCGCCGCTGGCTAGCAGTTAAAGAACATAGTTTGGTAGCCTGTTAAGTTCATAGAGACATGAGATTAAAATTACAAATCGTGTGCGGAAAGTTCACTTTTTTGTATGTATAAATAGATCAGTATAGCTTTTTAACCCAGTTTAGGTTCATAAACTTGGTCTTCGGTCATACTTTCTATGTGAAAACTAATGATGCTACTCTATTTCCAAAATCATAGTAGGAAAATCAGCTTCCAAACCTCTGACTTTATGATTGAAAAACGAATATCTTAACCACTAAGCCTTTGTTTCGAACGAATAGTCTTGTCACGATCGGACAAAAACCTAGCCTTTGTGAATTGAAAGTATTAAATATTACATAGTATCTATTAATTTCAGTTGCCTAACAGTAGAAGTAACGTTGTTCATTTTTCACTTTTATCCGCCTAACCTCTTTCGGTTCGTCCAGTAGGATAATATCACTTCTACACAAGCAATATGTCATAGATAGTTACGTCAACATATATTCTTTAAGTTGCATTAAGTAATTACCAAGATGTTACTCAACATAAATGTTGTGTCTAGGATTTATAGATAGCACTTTGTTCCTTATACTTCAGTGAGTGTTGCTTAAAACAATTATGATTGTCAACATGAATAAACTGGCACAGAAAACGTATTTGCTTTCTATCCATCTCAGTCAAGTATAAGGATATCTATTTGTACTCGAAAACTAGCTCATAGTATGATAATACAAGACATTTACAACCCTAATTGACTATATATCGTCTAATTTTGTGACTTTTATGGAACCGTTAATTAATTTTCTCAGTATGATTTCATTTTTACATCCGAGTCGGCGATTTCATACAGAGGGTCCACCTAGGGGAATCTGAAAATCCTGGTTCCAAACCAATGGTGTACATGGGCTCCAGCATCCTAAGGGAACAAATGGCGTGTGAACAAATTGTTGGTCACCGGCTATCATGGGACTGCATCTCTTACGTTGCTTCACTGCCCTGTGGATTAGACCTTTAAGTCGAAGGCTCCGGGTGTGGCCCCCTAAGGAAACCACCTACTTCGGTTTGGGCACCTGGGCAGTATCCCAGGGCATATGTATTTGGTGCCTCCTTTTACCAATGTTTGTGTTTAAGTAAATAATAGTAAATAAATAAAATAAAGTTCGGCTTCATGTACTGATTCTCCACAATCTCTTGATAATAAAACCACGTATCTTGTCTTTAGTATATTGTAGCATTAAATTGTATCATCGTCTCAAATATTCTGCATCAGAGATACTTCCTTCGTCTCATAAAATTATTATCCTTTTCAAAGCATTATTTAGAGTGCGTTTATTTGTTCGCTTTTGTTTTAATTACTTTTTCAATACAAACAAACTTCGTTGGTCTTCAGATACTATATTTCTTTACGATACTTGTCCGTTATCGTAACAGCCCAGTTAATAGCTACTGCTTTTATTTTCTACTGGGACTTGTTCTTCTCAGATATCTAGTTGATATATTGACTGTATCGCTTATTCCTGGACCTTCTATTGCCAGATAAATCGATGGTAGTTTTGGGGCAACTAGGCAACTGTCAGATAATGAATATCTACATTGTAAGATGAAATCGTACAGTTGTCAAAATGAGCTGTTTTTACAACAAGCTTGATCGGAAAGATCAGCTTTTTTATCAATGTTGTTAATGTTTGAATTGTAAGGATTAACTCTAAACACTTCACATCTTTCCTTGCTGTACAGATTTTAATTGTTCTATAGAGTACGAACAAAATTTTTTCGTCAACATCTAAAAATTAAAATCCAGCAAACTGCTAATACCAAAAAGACCCATATCAGCAATTCTTTTCATCTTTGTTTATTTTTCGTCATTGAGTATGATTATTAATACTGTTCCCTTTAGCTTTTATGAGTTCAACTTCACGGTCAATGTTAATAATTCGAGTTTACGGAACAACTTTTTTTAGATTTTTCAGATCACAGAATGACTATGATTATTTCGTTTCTTGATAGTTTCTCAAGAGCATTTCAGTTATTTTTTACATATTTTTAGAGAAGATCGTGTTCCCATCGAGGTTATACGTTCACGAGAGTTAAAATGGAGGAAAATGTGTTCTAATTGGAGTTTATGGTATTTTAAATACCATCAAAAGCTACGTGATCGATGTCGAAAAGGAATTCCTGATTCATTTCGTTGTGAAGCATGGCAACGACTTTGTGCAAGCCCAATGGTACTTGTTCAACGTCAACGAATTACATGTGATGAAACTGTCGAGACAAAAACAACAACTACAGGAACTAGTCAAAGTGTTGATCATAGTAGTAAAAGTAAATTTCCTAGGCATCGTTTTGGCACATTATCAAATCGAACAAATTTTAAAAGTTTACAAATGGTTATCACTTCTCCAAGTTTTCGTACTAGTCAAATTAAAGAAGACGATAGGTGAGTTTTAAGTCTATATAATGTTTTTATGGCGATTGTTTCACATGGCATACATGTACTCCAAGTGGTACTTTTAGATCGCTAATAATAACGTGTGACTTGCAGCTTGTATATCTACCTTTAAATACCTCTCAGGGTCCTCAAATTGCTTGATAGTCAAATAGTTTATGCCATGCGTTATTTATTCTAAACTTTTATTTAGTTATGGTATGTTTATTAATAAATTGTATGATGTAGTGAGACTAGTTAGTTAGTAAAGCCGTTTTCTACATGGTCGATGGGGAAATGCATTTTATAAAATAATTCACGTGTAAATCGAACGTTAAGACTTCATGTGCGAAAAAAATCGTTTTTGAGAATGTTCTGTACTTATTAACTCTACAGCACCGAAATTTTCAACTAATCGTAGTCGTCTATTATCTCATTAAATATCTCTGATTCATTAGACTAATGTATTAAAATAACTCTAGTACAATGGCATTCTGACTGCACAAAATCTCGGTATTCGAACTTTTCCGGATAAAAAGACAAATGCTTAAAAGATATTAAACAGTAAATTATATTTGTAAAATTCGCAGCAATTCAACCTGGAATTAATGTTGTCATTTTCCCTTATTTTGTTTATACTGCTACTGCATTGCAGTTGATCGCCTGTATTTACAAATCAGACTAAGTTTTGAATGGATCTCTTGTTTAGTGTCATCATTATTAACATTTCTATGGGTATATTACTTAGTTTTTAATACCTTGATTTTCACGATTCTCGACCTGATCTTAACAGGAATGATTAAATTATTAAATATTTGTTTCATGTCTCCCTATTTGTATACTCATATATTTGTATATGATATATTAGTTCGTATTATGTATGCATAAATTTATTTTAATTTACACTGAATAATAGTATCTTGTTGATGTCCTTATAATTCCATGAAGAGTCAATAAACTTTAATAATAATAATAATAATAATAATAATATAATAATAATAATAATAATAATAATAATAGCTATAATTGATACCTTTTAACGTTCATTTATTGTGATTCATTTTAAGTTACGCCTTAATAATTGTTATTTAGTATAGGCCGATGCATATACGTACTTGGCCCTACGTTGTAGCTGACTGACTGATAGGCTTATTTAGTAAATTATAACATGTTGAATAACTAAAGCCTAATAGAAACCTACATATTATTGTGGGCTATTTAAAATAGCAATTTCTAGTTTATGAAGTGAAGTATTATTTGATATTTAGTTTTACTGAATTCATCGAGTAGTCTTTTCAACTTTTGTATTCTGATTGGTGCGGTGAAATATAAATAGTGATATGTTTCCTACTTAGATATTTAACTTGTTACGTGGTTGAAAATAGCAGAAAATCTCTGGACCCATTCGTCTTGCTAGCCGACACTGTAGACGTACCTGCAAATTAAAGGAACTATTCTTCCGTAGTTCAGATGGTCAATAATGAATACCTATCATGTGACCTATTGATTCCTAAATGAAACTGTCTACCTAGTGAAGATGCTTACTTAGTGTTATCAAACAATAAATTGAAAACATTGCCTAGATGATTGAATTATTTCTGAACCGATCACCTCTAACCGTATCGACGAACGAAAAAATAAACTGTCATTAGTAACATCACTGACTGTGGCACTAAGAGACGCCGGTTAGAATCTTTGAATGATTATCGATTCCTTCATAGTTGTAAATCTTGCCAAAGAGTATCAACCAATACAAAATTCAAGTCTAGGTTTTTCTGATGATAACCTCCAACCATCTAATAGCACCAGACTTTTATTGGTTGAAACGCTCAAATGGCGTTTATTTATTCGCTTGACCCTAGTAGCTTAGTTTCGTTACTTTAGAAATCATTTTTGAATATTCCTGGAATCCAGTGACCAATTCCGTTAAAGTTACATGTTAGGACTAGGCAAACCACGTGATTGTCAATGCACTTCAAATAGATTCTAACAGGCAGTTGTATGAGTAGTGTCCCGTCAAACAATTTAGTAAGACGTTGCGATGCACGTCGATATATACGTGGATTCAACATATCTTGCCTACTGATACTAATGTTGAATGGTATGATACTATGCTTGAAACGAAACTTTTATAAGTTAATCACCAATCGTAGTTGAACTAACCGTGGATTTAAAATTTCTTTCAGTACTCACTAAAGTATTGACTATTAATCAAAAGAAGAGTAAAAAAACACAGCACCATGTGATTTATAGTTAATGCATTGTGACAATACTTGTTGCTTATAATTTGTATGTTATTCTTTTCTTCGGTTCATGATCACGATTTTAATTGTTTAAGTGGAAAGATCCCACGTGTTATATATATATATATATATATATATATATGATCATTTTATAAAGACAAATGTTCTATACTTAACTTATCGAAAGATTCTCCGTTTATTTTTAGTTAGAATACAAAGCAAGCAACACATTTCTTATTGCTCCAACGCATACTAAAGTCTTTTCGTATTATAAGTAAAGTTGATATAGCATACACCATGAAATAATGTAACAGAATTATAAATTGAAAAGGTGGAAAACTTACATAAAGATACGTCTAAGAACGCCTTTATTGCTTTTTGCTAATTTGTTTTAAACTTTGTTCAGTATGAAAATGTCCTAAAGTTCTACTCCAGTGCTTTTCAGCCAACCTAGACGTTGAAATTACTCTGTTATTAATATTTCTGATTCCCTAGTTCTTCCCACTAAGTCCGGAGAATTTACCTTAGAACTCACCTATTTCGTGTTGGATGAATTCATCGGGGATGTAAATACAAGCTGCTAAAGATAATGAAGTGTATCCCTTCATTTTCTAGTTCGTAAGTTTTCATTCAACCACTCAGCATACAAGCGATATTTGATTGAAGTTCCGTTCTTTCAAACTTAATTCTGTACTTACATCAACTTAATCACGAGTCGTTAACAGTTCTTTGGAAATGAGAAGAGTCGATCATGTTAGTTCTCCACACCAGTTGGGTATAGTTGAGTGAATAATTACATTTGAGTATTGTATGTAGGTTTCGAAGAAAGCAAGTTTTACTTAGAGAAGCTTATTGTTTGATTAGACATGGGGTCTGAACAGAGGGGGCTGCAACACGTACTTAGGATCCCGATTTTGAGAAAACTGGGATAACTTTTTGAATATATTTTAAATCGTAAAATGTAGAATTGTGTTGTTCTTAGAACGCTTGGACATTCTTTAAATTACTTTCTAGGTGACCATACTACATAGTTCCCAAATTTTAGAATTGGGAATCTATCTCACCGAAATCCTAACATATTGCTACTAATATATAAAATGAACATCGGGGTAAATTTTCAGTCGTAAAAGTAGTTTAGTGTTTATCATTTTCCTCACCCAATTAATAATGGTTATCTATCTCAATTCAGTTAGTTTCATCTCTGTATTAAATACATAGTTTCAATCTTGACAGTGGACTACATTTTCTTTTCTTACTCAAACAACTTATAATGAGCTTAGTGTTCAAGCGCATAAATCATTACAAAATAAATAATACTTTTTTCTTGTATCAATCGCTTTTTAAAGTCATCTTATTTCTTTAATACCGTGTTGATACCTTTTCGTCAACTGACATAATTTAAGCTTGACTTGTCTACTCTTTTCCGCATACCATCGACGTTATATTCTCTTACCATCTAACAAACGAAAGGTTTAAGTAGCGATATCTACTTGTTTTTGATCTACACAGTGCATTCTTACACATTTCTATTATGTTCTGTGTATGTATCTCTATTGTGTGTATATTTTGTTAAGTCTTCACAAATTGTCCTTAAAGTAAACTTGAGGTTATTTTTTACAGTTACCGTAACTGGATTACATGATTGAGAGTATACTTATTTCGGAAATCAATTAGTTTTTGTATGTTATGTAAAGTGATCAAATGTAAACTTTGATCGATCAAAATTTCTCTTTTCAATTATTTTTTTGGTTAGAACATAAATTCACATTACTTTGACATTTTCTAAATTATTTTTCTGTTCGATTTTGTCATTGCAAATTTACTTATTTTTTGGCATTCTTTTTTTCCGTTTTAGTCTCGTTTCATTGAAAAATCTATTTTTAAATGATCGATCTAAATGTTTTACTGACTACTGATTTGTTTGATGATAGAGAATTATGAGATTAGGACTAGTAGTAGTAACCAACTCACGACCGAAGCTGCTACCTTGACGCGGTGGTCGGGCTTGCCTATCGTGATGACCCAACTTAGCTATTTTGGCTGGAACATATGTTTCTGTAGGTTCTACCATGCCAGGCAGGTCGATTGAAGAACGGTAAGACTAAAAGCAGCAACTCAAAGTCTGAGGGCGAAGTCGTACTGCTGACTGTACAGAGGTATGACAGCAGTAAGGTGTTTCTCTCGGACAACCAGCATCTGCAGCGATGCTGCCTTCCCACAAGGAGGGGTGGGGTTAGAAAAGGTCGACCCTAAAAATGTCACACCTCACCTTACCTCACGGATTTCCGTCTCCGGCGGTAAGGCCCTTTGAAGAACGGAGCTAACACATTAAAAACCTTCCACGAAAAGGCCCTGCGCGACCGGCCTCAAGCAGTTGTCCCTTGGGCTCTGTGGTCAGGCTTCCAGGTCTTTAAGACCAACACTAATTCAATTTCCTTTTCAGGCTCCTCAAGAAATACCCTTCCACGGTGTGGACAGCCGGGAAGTGACACCAGCCCTCATACCTGTAACAGCACACGAGACCAAGTTGGTCACATCCAAATCCTTCCTACACCTCCTTATACCACTCTTATCTCCCCGACTAACCCTCCTCACGTCTCTTTATCACCTTGCACCGCTAGGGCAAACGATCCGAGTACGCGGAACGCTATTCCTGGTCTCCTGAAACCACGCTCTAAACTACACGTAGGAGCTTTTAACGTCCGAACACTGTGCCAAATAGGACAACGGGCTTCCTTAGCTAGGACTTTAGAATCCCGCTCCATGGGTGTGTGCTGCGTCTCCGAAACGCGCATACAGGATCCGAGTAGCGTCATTCACTTGACCTCACCATGCCAAAATAAAGAACCGACTCGATTCACACTTCATGTATCTGGAAGCCCTGATTCTGCTTGCCGTGGTCTCGCCGGCGTAGGTATAGCATTGAGTCCTAGGTCAGAACTAGCTCTCTTAGAGTGGATCCCAGTAGACAGTCGTTTGTGCTCTGTCCAACTAAACGGAACAGTAAGAATCCGAAAAGATAGGGACACTCGTCGTTGCCTCTTCGTCGTCTCTGCCTATTCTCCCACTGACCGCAGCGCAGATGATGTAAAAGATGAGTTTTACAGAAAGCTCTCCGACCTTCTCCGAAACGCTAGGCGCTCGGATGTAGTAATAATGGCCGGTAACTTTAATGCTCAAGTAGGTAAACTAAGCGATAGGGAAAGACACCTGGGTGGATCTTATAGCATCGTGGCTCAAAGAACAGATAATGGCGACCGTCTGTTGCAGCTATGCTCAGATAACTGCCTGTTCCTTGCAAATACTAACTTTATGCTTAAGGAGAAACATCTCTTAACATGGAAACCCCCTAATTCGTCCCAACGTTGGACCCAAATAGATCACATCGCTATCAGCCACCGATGGAGGGGCTCGATAGAAGACTGTCGCTCATTCTGGAGCACATGCCTAGATTCAGATCATGCTCTAGTGCGAGCGCGTATTTGCCTGCGTCTTACTGGACGTAGGAAAGATGATATCCGAAAAACTGTGGAAACAGTAGTGATATCTACTAGTAAGGTAAACCAGAAGGTTAGGAAGAAACACTGGATCTCAGCAGCATCTACCGCACTGATAGATGCTCGGAAACTCACTCCACCTGGCTCTGAACATAATGAAGAGCGGAGTCAGCCTAAGCGCAAGCTGACAAGAAGTCTACGCAATGATCGCGAACAGTGGTGGGTAGCGAAAGCAAGAGAGATGGAAAAGGCAGTGGCAATAAGTAATAGCAGACAATTGTTCAGACTTGTTAAGGAAACCGGTATTAGGAAACCGACTGTTAGCGAAACACTCTCAGAGAAAGATGGACATATTAAACATTCTCAATCCATGAGATTGGATCGATGGGCAGAACACTTTAGGGATCAGTTCAACTGGCCTTCAGCCTCACTTCGGTTTCCCACGATCTCCAGTCAACCTGAATGGCAAGTTAATGTAGGTCCTCCGTCTCTTTACGAAGTTGAAAAAGCCATAGGAAATCTGAAGAGAGGGAGAGCAGCAGGCCCTGACAGGTTTACTCCTGAGATTTTTAAGGATGGTGGTTCAGTGTTAGCAGTGAGATTAGCTGAGGTCTTAGGTAGGATTTGGGAACTGGACGTAGTCCCATCTGACTGGTCTCATTCACTGATTGTTCCAGTCTATAAGAAAGGACAAAAGTCCTCTTGTGACAATCACAGAGGAATCAGTTTGACAAATATAGTGTATAAAATATTAGCTTCAATAATACTTCGACGCCTAACTAAAGCTCGTGAAGGGCAGACTAGAAAAAACCAGGCTGGTTTTCGACCTGGACGTGGTTGTATAGACCACATATTCACACTACGTCAGGTTCTAGAACACAGACACACATTCAGACGCCCCACAATGGTAGTATTTCTCGACCTTAAAGCAGCATTCGACTCTGTCGATCGTAAGGTTCTATGGCAGTGTTTGTCATTGAAAGGAGTACCAAAGAAGTACATTAACCTTTTAAAGGCTCTCTACTCGAACACAACTGGTCGAGTGAGAGCTTATGGTGAACTGTCATCAGAATTGATTACCTCATGTGGTGTTCGTCAGGGCTGTCCACTCTCTCCATTCTTGTTCAACTTTGTCGTCGACGTACTATTAGAGATAACACTTTCCTCGTCTAGATTTCCAGGGGTTGAACTTCCACCGGGAGGTTCACTTGTTGACTTAGAATATGCTGATGACATAGTTTTATTTAGTGAAGACGCTGACAAAATGCAGAGTCTTCTGACCATTCTAAGCAAAAACGCAAGCATGTTCGGGATGCGATTCTCTCCCTCGAAATGCAAAATGTTGCTTCAGGATTGGGTTACATCGACACCCGAACTAATGATAGGGAGTGAAGTAATTGAGCGTGTCGATCTCTTCACTTATCTTGGAAGTCTCATCAGCCCTTGTGGTCTGGTGTGTGACGAAATCTCAGCACGGATACAGAAGGCTCGACTAGCTTTTGCCAACTTGCGTCATTTATGGCGTAGGCGAGATATCCGTTTATCAACCAAAGGACGTGTTTACTGTGCAGCAGTTCGTGCCGTCCCACTTTATGGCAGTGAAACATGGCCGGTAAGAGTAAAGGATATTCGTAGGTTACTAGTACTTGATCATAGGTGTCTTCGAAATATTGCGCGTATATCCTGGGACCATCGAGTAAGTAACACAGTTGTTAGGAAACGGATACTAGGTAAGGATGGCAAATCAATTGATGAAGTAGTGAAACTTCATCAGTTGAGATGGCTGGGACACGTGTTACGTATGCCCAATGACCGACTGCCTCGACGTGCTATGTTCAGTGGTATAGGAGTAGGTTGGAAAAAAGCTAGGGGCGGCCAAACCAAAACATGGCACAAGTCCATGAAGTCACTGACAAGTGGAGTGAGTCATGTCGGTAGGTGCAGACTACTTGGTTGGGGACCGCGAGATGATAGGAACCGATGGTTAGAGACCCTGAATGACATGGCTTAAAATCGTTTGCAATGGCGCAGGTGCATCCACTCTTTGTGTTCTCCCAAATTCTAATCTTCTGAATTCTTCATGTCCCGTTCTTTTTTCTCTTCCCAAATTTATTTAACTGTATTATACTCTTTAAATAACATCTTCAAACACTAATCTTCCCGATTACTGCTTATACTCTTATTACCTCTACCACTACGGGATTTGAATTGACCACTGCATCTCTGTGCTAATGTGGTGCGGTAACTCGAACTGATGTACGTACGTACAAAGTTCTACGCTGTTACTGACTGACTGAACCAACTCACTAATTGAGTCTATTTCATCGAAAACAATATACTTCCATGTATTATAAGCCTTAGATCATTCACTTATCGACTGATTTTATTATCTACAGAACGATGATAAACCAATCAATGGTAGGATTGTAGACGGCAGATATTGACGAGTTCATATTAATCTAGTTGCCTAGACCACCATAATTGGGGTAGGTATCTAACCTATGATTCTGCTGTGCTAAGTTGATTGCTGAAACCTTCAAGTTAAGCCTGTGTATATTCAAAGGCTGCATAGTATATATATAGTCTCCTAGGTAAATGACAGCTTTTGGCCTGTTTTAAAATTGAACTGAGCTCCATTTAAATATTTCTTTTCTCTATCAGATTCCTCGTTATCTCTTATCTCTCTTTTTCTATTTAAACAGACGCAAACTTTTATTTCGAAAATTGCACGGGTAAGTAAATGCTTTTTCTTTAGTACATCCATGTTAATTGTGTACGTGTGTGTATTTTTTTCATTTTATTAGTGCTTACGTGATTGCAATAACCGTACGATATTACTTGTCTTAGTTATAAAATATTTCAATGAAAATATCACTACATTTAGTGTACATTTTTACTCTTGCTGAACCTTATTTCATGTGATTTGTGATTCAGTTCGTTTTCTGTTTAGCTTTTTTCACTTTGCATGAATTATACTTCAACATCTTGACGTCTCGTATATTATTGTGTCGTTAATATATATATGGTCAATCAGCTGCAACGTAGGACCAGGCACATATATGCATCGGTCCAAGTTGCCACACCTCGTTAGCACAAAAAGATGAACACCAAATTCATAAAAGTAGTTAATTCAGAGGTGGTAATATATAAAAGAAAGATTGCATACAAGGATATAGTACAGGAAGAAAGAATTAGTTCGTACAAAGAAAGATATGAAGCGATTTTAATCTCGTATTTTAAGGGAAGACAGAGAGTGTATACACCTACGCTATTGTGATCGATTCTGAGCCATGTCACCAAGAGTCTCCAACCATCGGTTAAGATAATCACGCGGACCCCCACCAAGTAGTCTGCATCTACCAACATGACTAAGACTAGAAGTTAGTGACTTCAATCACTGATGCCACGTTTTGGTTTGGCCGCCCCTAACTTTCTTCCAACCATCCCGAACACCGGATAGCATTGCACGTCGTGGTAATCGGTGTTTGGGCATATGTAACACGTGGCCCAACCATCTCACTCGATGAAGATTCACAACCTCATCAACTGATTTACCATCATTCCTTAACACCCTGCGTCTAGCCTCACTATTACTTACCCGGTGATCCCAGCATATGCGAGCTATATTTCTAAGGCATCTGTGGTCGAATACTAGTAGCTTACGATTATCTTCTACTCTTTATATATATATATATTATTGATGTGTTCTACTACTATTTTTTGTAATCAGCTAAACTTGCATGCATATACATCTATTAATATTGTAGAAAATGAACATTGTGATGTAAGACAGCACAAATAAATTTCAAGTTTTCTCTCTGTAAAAGAATAACCAGATATTTTTTCATGACAATATCTCTTTATTTCCCTTCTTTTCGTTGCTAGTTCAAATACGAAATTTATGCGTAAAAATGTAGTGAATTATAAGTAATCTATTCTCATATAAATAAAAATAATTTGTGTTGAAATGAAATATAGGTGGTGATGACTAAATGTACTTTAACTGTTACTACTGCTACTACAGTGTGGTGGTAGTTATTGATTTATTCAGTCTGTGACCAATCAAGCCAGCAGGATAAGGTTAAACTTAATTCTTTTAGATGCGTTACTTGGGTGTGTAATGTAGAATGGCTTTTAATTTTGCTTCTCAGTAGATTGCTTTATAACTCGTTTATGTGACTAAATAGCATTAGGTCGAACTGTTCAAAAGTCTTCCATCTATCATGTAATTCCATTTGATCTAAAAACCCAGTACAAATAATCATCACATATTTTCAGAATGGGTTTTGTGGAGAGTTTTAGAAATTGTCACAGGTTGAAATCATGAGTCAGTTGAAGCTAGACCACCATTGAAAACCTAGAAGCACTGGACGGCCGTTTCGTCCTGATATGGGACTCCTCAGCAGTGCGCATCCACGATCCCGCACCACGCGGGAACAAACAATCCTAGATTTATATTATACATTTTTTGTTAATATAGTATTTTTAGTTTTTAAGTTCATGAGTCAATGTGAGCTAGACCACCATTGAAAACCTGGATGACCGTTTCGTTCTAGTATGGGACTCCTGTTGGGTAGAGACAGATATCTACCTCAGACAATGGATGAACAGTTTCTGAAGAGCATGGGTTGATTGAAGTTAGACACTAATACGGATGGATGACGGCTCAATGATCTAGAGATGAAGCGTTCACGCGCCAGACCGAAGGTCCTGGGTTCGAGTCCCGGATTCGAGACCGTGGATGTTCACTGTTGAGGAGTTCCATACTAGGACGAGATGGCTGTCAAGTACTTCCAGGCTTTCAATGGTGGTCTAGCTTACATCGAATCATGAACTCTCCACAAACCCCCATTGTGATCAAAATATAGTATTTGTCTCCTATTTATCTATTTTTACTGGTTATATGTACATAAAACAGAAAATTTCAAACTTATTTGTCGTGATTCGCTTCATCTCACTGAAACATTTTTTCATGCATATTTGTATATATGTATGTAGTCATTTTACGATTTTTTGGCTGTTGTCAATATAAAAGCATATTTCGTCTATCAGTAGTGGTCGTCCAATCGATCTGTCTGGCAAAAAGAATGACTCATTTTTGAAAAAAGAAAACAGAAAACTGTTTCTTCTATTTTATTTCCTTTATTACTATTGTTGATTGAATGTACTTTGTATTTGTCCTTGCCTTTCCATTCCCTTTCCTCCTCCTCCTCCTTTCCCTCTCTCTTGCTTATTTGGTTACTTCTTTTGCTATCAAACTTTGATATCAAATATTCATTGTCGTCTTTTTGTTAGTTAGTTTTGGTTCCTCTATGTGTGATCCATAAGAATGAATTCTACCTGTTCCATGAAATATAATCAAGTTGAACAGTAAATAGGGGATAGGAATCATTCTGCAATTCACTATATTTAATAAAGGGAAAAAAGAATTAATCGATTAGTAGTAATAATGATAATGATGGGAGTAGTTGACATTAGTGACTCATTAATTCACCTGTAGCCTCAATAACCAGTTGAGTATTTGTTGTTTTGTTAAACAAGGATAAAATAAGGGACAATTCAGGTAAACTTGTATTATTTTTTTGAGAATTTTTAATTTCCTGTTGTTGATATTCGGGACTGTAATTGAGCAATCTCTATTGCCATATATACATACATCCTAAATGGATTGTCTCTACATAGCTTGTGTTCGTTGTTTCAGCTCGCTTTTAGAGAAGTCATCCTGTTTTCGCATAACGAGAAGAAGGAAAAGATTATTGGGCAAGACTATAATTTGTAGATGACCCTTGAGCGACGCCAAAGTAGGGTTTAAAAAGGTTAGAAATTGTGCTGATAAATTAGAGTTGAAGTTTTCATTACAAACTGAGATCAGCTATAATGCGAAAATCCTACTTGGCCATATAGATGAATGAATTTCGCGCCAAGATCTAAGACTTTTGGTGGGGTTTTGTTCTCTGAGCTGGATGGTTTGGTCGTGGAGTTTTCATCGTTCTTCTGAACGACATCATCAGCACAAACTTCAGATAGAAGTGAAGTGTTCGAATTTCTCCATATGTGTTTCACAGCTTGTTCTACGCACCTCGATGTTGATTGGTTCTTATTGACCTTAAATTTATCATTGTTTACTTCTTTGTTTTGGTTGTGTTTCCCATTGGTTTGATTTTTGTTCCTATATTTATGCATGATTTTCTTGATTGGTTGATAAATTGGATTGATTTCAATATGTTTGTTGATTGCTGATTGACCTGAGTGCCATGCTTTCCTCTGTCTAAGATTTCTACATTTTTCCAATCGAATGAGTGTCCGTTGTTATCCACGTGTATTGATATAAGTGAAGAGATATCATGGCGTTTGACTGCTAATTGATGTTCATGTAGGCGTAGGTGGAGGGGGCGTCCGCTTTGTCTGATGTAGTGTTTGTCGCAGTTGCTACGATTTATTTTGTAGATGATGTTTGATTTGTTTTCTTTTGTTATTTCATCCTTTGGTTTGCATAGGATTGATTGTAGTGATTTTGTTGATTTGTGTGCCACATCTATCCCGAAGGTTTTCAGCAGTCTCGTTGCGGTTTCTGATATTCCTTGTATGTACGGTAGGGTGATCCTTTAGCTGATTTTTGTGCTTGACTTGGGTTCTGATGTTGTGTGCCGTTGGTGCTTTTTGATGAAGTTGATTGGGTAACCGTTTTTTTGAAATATATCCTTCAGGTATTTCTCTTCATTTTTTCGTGCTGCAGTGTGTCCTCGGCCTCTTGAACAATGTGTGTACGCAGTTGATTTTGTGAGCTCTTGGATTGTTGCTGTTGTAGTTGAGAATTTGATCTGTATGGGTCGGTTTCCTATATATTTGAGTTTCCAGTATTCCTGTGTCAGTTCTAGTGATCAATATATCCAAGAATGCTAGTTGGTTGTTTGACTCCTCTTCCATTGTGAACTTGATGTCATTGAAAACGTTGATCAGTTTGTATGTGTTTTCCAGTTCATTCTTTTTGACGATGAAGAAGGTGTCGTCTACTTAGCGAATCCAAATTTTTGGCTTGATCACTGGTAATATAGTGGCTTCCAGTCTTCGAATCACTGCCTCAGCGATCAGTCCTGATATTGGTGATCCCATTGGTGTCCCTTTCGTTTGTTCGTAGATTTTGTTGTTGAACTGAAAATATGTTTTTAGGCATAAATCGATGAGTTCCAGTAGACTTTGAATTTTAAGCTTCGTGTATTTATTGAGATTTGTGTCGTTGTTGAGCAGCAGGGATATAGTTTCTTTTGCTAACTGTGGTTCAATTGAGGTGACAGTGCTGTTACGTCGAAGGATATCATGAGTTCGTGAAGTTCTGAAGTTTGTGCTGACGATGTCGTTCAGAAGAACGATGAGAGCTCCACGACCAAACCATCCAGCTTAGAGAACAAAACTCCACCAAAATCATCCACCTCAGCTACAAATCTTCTCCACCATCTCAAGATCTAAGACTCTCTAACTCAGATCTAATTAGTTCGTTCACATGTTATAGTATTGTCGATTATTGGCGTGTATTAGGGCCTGTGTCATCAGTCTGTTTATTATGGCAGCAGTTTTATTTTCTTGTCCGACTCACAACTCATACCTGATCTCACTTCAGCACAAATAGAACGTTACTATATATACACGACTCAATTATAAACGAGATGAAAATAAAGCAATAAAAAGTAATGAATAATAAATCTGTAGGAGTTAAAACATTATAATGGTTTATAGATCAAACGAAAACTTATAAATAGGAGAATATAAAAATACAAGAATCCAAGTGTTTGACATCTGTACAATAAAACGGTAAGCAATGATTCCCAATTGGATAAGTATAAAAGTCCGACTTCGCTTAAATCCTCTTCGATATGACTGACACGTTATATGGTTTTTAAGATATTGATTTAAATTCTTGAATGAGGAAAGGATTTTTGAAGTGTTGAGTTTCCTAAGCAGGTTGTTTAAATTGTAAAGTTATTACAGACTTCAAAAATCATTGTCGATACAATCTAGATAGGTAGTGAGTGCTTCGGGATCTATGTCATCCTGTTAGAAAAACCAATGCGATATGTTGTTTAAGTAAATTTTATATTTTATGTCTTCACTGTCTAGGTAATTTACATGATGTATTAATAATATCCTTTGTTTTCTATCTTCCAGCACTGACAGTACTGTGTTAAGTCAAGGGTCTAGTTTCCATTCTTTACGCATTAGTAGGGTTAAAGATGTTATTCCTGATTCACATGATAGCTGTCGATATCCTTCAGCACTACCTCTTTCCTTACAAAATCACGAGAGTCCAAATACTCAAAGAATATCACCGTGGCAGCGAAATACTTTCAATAGCGAATCCATTCGATCAATATCCGGTACAACTCATAGCAGTCTTCATAATTTACCTTCTAGTGCATTGAACAATGTTAATTCTTCAATGTTTAACCAATCAGCATTACCTAATTCAGGTTATTCAACAATTGCATCTGTTCATGGCAAATCATGTTCACCAGAATCACATATTGATACTACTGATATGATAAAATCAAATCATGTTACAACTACTAGAAATTCCGGTGGTTATGCTAGTCTTAGTACGACATCTTGTACAGATAGTTCTAGTACAAATCATTTTCAAAACGAAATTCAAATTCACGAAGCATCATCCACAGATTCATGTACTTCCATTTTAATATCATCATCTGTTGGATCGTCATCATCACCAATTTTACATCGAATTACACGAAATATTGACGTGTTTTCTAACCAAACAAGTGGTGATATTCTAACAGAATACGATAATGATGATCCCAGAGCTACACTTGTCCCATCGATTGATTTAGATCCAGAGAAATTATATACAAATTATTGCTTACAAGAAGGGACATCAGTTAATTGTGATCAAATACGTCGTGATATTGATCGCCAATTTCCTTTCCATGAATTATTCAGTGAAAAGGGAGGTCATGGGTCAGTTCAACAGTCATTATCAGTCTGTCTGTCTGTACTTATTCTCTTTTTGTGTTTTTAATAGGCAAATAAATAAAGCTAAGTAAATTGCATAAATACATGCTCGTGTACCAGAGCTGATGAACTGCACGTACTTTTAAAGTAGTACTCACATGAATTGGTTTCAGCGGACACGACTTATTTGTTATGATTAACGATTTACCACAAAAATAACTCACTTTAAATAGAATACAACCAATTCCAATTTTATTTTCATGCAATATTTTGTTTTTTCTCATTTTCACTCATACTAAGTCGATCAGCTTTCTTTCAAGTCTTCTTGATTAAATGATAATTCCTGCCTCAACTTCGATGAATAAATTTTTCTATCTTAGTATCATCATTCTATAACACTAGCATGTGTATAGACGATTGGATTAATTATTCTGTTCTATTTCCTTCCTCAACTTCCTAACCTTCTCTTAACACATTTCAATAATCCAACATACACTTATTATTGTTGTTATTATTATTATTACTAAATGTTGTTAATTTCATTAGAAATAATCGTTAACGGACAGTAAAGTGCAAGGCGGTTCAAATATTGCTAAGAACATAAAACAATGGTAACATACCAGTAAATATTTACAACTAAGTGCGCGTACTGTATTCACGGGTATACATATATATCCTCATTGTTTGATTGTCTCAGCAGAAATGATTTGCCGCCATTCTATTATGTATATCTAATTTTCTCGACAAAACACACTCAAATGGTTATGGGCTATCATGTCGTGTAATACTCTCCATGTGTGAGTTATGTAGCCGGGTAGGTTGATACAATAATAACTAACGGATTGGACTGAACAACACGAATAAACAATATACTTGAACTACTCTTTCCTCTTGGTACATTTTAGTTTAAGGTTTTTTAGATTTCACTTAGCTCTATGTTTGAGAAGTGTTGTAATTTGGTTGAAATACTATTATAGATGTATTTTATAACAAACCTTAACTTAGAAAATGTTTGTGCAGTTTACTCTGATTGATCGAAAAACATAATAAACTATCCAATAATACTGTTCGAACTATGTCACCTTGTCATTCAAAACATTCAAATGTTGGCATTTAATAAAGCCACTTCCTTTCGGTTGATTTCGATTTACTAGTCGGTGCTTAAGTAATGATAATCGTCAAAGCACTGTACCTAATAACTTTCAAAACAGAAATGTTAATTACTGGTTCGCAATTTAAATTAACAACGGTATTATCCTATGAGAAAGCTTTTTAATATAACATATATACACATAAGAGAACAGGGTAATTGTAATTCATGACTAATTTGTTTCAGTCTTTCATCATTAAAAAAATGAAAATCGGAACAGTTATTTGTATTATAGACTAACGATAGTTGGAGAGCCATTGAAAATCAAGGTACATTAGACGAATATTTCATTCTAGTATGGGACTCAGGTTACACGGGAATCTTTAAAGCAGTGATTTAAAATAGATTGGTCCCCACTTTTAATTTCGGTCAGTTCACTGTATGGTATGATCGATACTCAGTATCAATGATATATTTAAAGTTCACCACTCAGATCCTTCCACTAGAACTTCAGTAATTCATCTCCAAGTTATTTAATAATGAGGACACAGTTATCGTTAAGTTGAATTGATTGTGTGGAGTGCTCTCTGGTTTTCAGTGATTACTGATATATCATTTTGTCATGAAGAAAATACGTTAAACAAATTGCAACGGTTCACTCAATGAAAATTTAAATTTTTCTCCAATTATTCATTTTAACACTTACCTGCAATCGCCGCCTTTATGTCTCTTTTATGTCGTTTGCAACTAAATGCCACTATATTTTGAGGTCATGCTCTTCTGCGAATCACTTCAGATTGACATTTAAACAAGCCACTATTGTCTTTATAACAACTATCGCATATTATTATAGGAGTAAATTGTAAATTATTTTTAGATTTTATATTCAATATTGATGTCAAATATTCACATTGTTTCTGCATAGAGGCCTAAAACAACGTAAAAGATTGCTTCATTTGTTAAATGTTTGTCTACCACGAAATATATATATATATGTTTATTTATTAATCCTGTCATCTTGGATGCTTAAATTTGCATACGCTTAAGTTTTTTTATAATTTATCAGCCTTGTTGAAAACCATATACATTTTATGATAAATAAATGACCTACCAACTTTTTTTCTCTATTGATGTTTTTTACGGAGAAAAAAGTTAAATAAACAAACGGAAAGATTTACGCGTATTCTTTGTGTTGCGACAGAATTAAATTATATATATATATATATATATATGAAATGTAAATGGGCATATTTTTTTTGATTGATTGCAAGACCACCACTACTACTACTGATTCACACACATTGTCATAGAATTAAAACTTCGCGAAAATCATAATATTGATTTGTGCGGTAATTTAAACATGAAAAATCACCGCGCACTGTGTTGTTCTCATATACATACGTTAGTTCTAAATCAGTTTGTGCATTGTGATTTGTTTAATTTTTCATAAATTGGATCCAGCCATATTTGTATCGCCTGTAAGATAAACAGTGTCGAATTCTTCGAATTTGTCCGAATTTTGTAAATAAAGCAAGTGGTTAAGTATGCTGTGTTTATAAACACAGTTATTAATGAATTTGTTAGCGTTTCGTGTTACTTATGCAATATAGTTTTTCGACCAAGGTCCTACAACAGTTATTTAGTATTTATTGTGTGTATAACTAATAATACAGTTTGAAAATAACATATAAAGATAATTATGTGATCTTTCTAGGAATAATTAGATGGTGTTCAAACAGTTTTTTTAGTCAACCGGTTATACGAAGTTAGTACGACCTCCAGCAAAATGGTAATAAGCTTAGTAATAGCTAGCTAGATAATTATATATATATATATATATATATATATATATATATATATATATATATATATATACCATACAAAAACTTGCTGTCTTTCATTATTTTATTCTTTTATTTTAGTCAAGAAAGTTTATACACCTTACTAAAAGCTTATACAATTAGACATCCGGAGAAAGGTTACTGTCAAGGTCAAGCCCCACTAGCAGCTGTCCTACTCATGTTTATGCCGGAAGTTGATGCCTTTTGGACTTTCAATGAAATTTGTGAACGTTATTTAGAATCTTATTATGATGATGGTCTTGTAAGTTATGGTTTTTGCAGTTTTGTTTATTTTTTTTTGGTATTTCTGAATGTACTGAAGTTGATTAAATTGAAAAGCAATAAAAAGAAGATATTTGTGTTTCTATATTGTTTTTACATCAGTTGAACATTAAAGTACAATCTTTTGGTTCTTTTCAAACAAATAATGTTTTATGATTCGTTAAAAGTCAAAATTAACACCATACGAAATAAAAGCTAATGATGAATCAAATATTTAGTGATTAAAGGGTTCGGCATTCGATAATAAAGTCTCACTATTTAGAGTTCAGGCGTTTATGTGTTTGACTGAAGGTTCTTGATTCAATTTCGGGTGTTGGGGTCCTAGACGCGCGCTGTTGTGGAGTCTGAGTCTAGGACAAAACCGTTTGGAGCTTCTTGGTTTTCAATGATGTTGCGCCTAAGATCAATTTATGGTTTATATCACACAGTGAAGTTTCAGATTCAAACCTCGTTCTATTTGATCCGGTTTGACCAACCGCGTAATACCCCACTAATCTATCTTAGGCACATAAAGTGTGACATGGAGCCTGATTTATAAATCTGATCCTGGTCATTAAGTTTCATTGTGTAGAATATGGCTAATGATATTTGTGTAGTTACTGGTTTCTTCTTTGTTTCTCAATTAGGAACGAGTACAAATTGACGGGGACGTCTTATACGCGCTTCTTAAGTCGATACATCCTCCAATATATAAATTTTTAGTAAGTTGTTTTCTGAAACATTTGTTGGATTTCTCTTAATAACCATTTTGCTGAGTTCATTTAGTTTTTAAAAATAGTGAATTATCAAAAAATTTTACTTTTAGTAAATGCAGTTTTTCACTGCTTTTGGTAAATTTCGTACTTTGGTTCAGTCCTGTATAAGTGTATAATTATGTGTGAATACTGTCATGAAGTTTCAATCTAAGACAAAGTAATTTCACAGAGCTCATTAGTTTAGTTAACATCAGCTTGTGACGAAAAATATCTTTCTTCAAATTATATCTTTATTCACACACAATCGGTTGCTTTCTTGACTGACACAGAAGTTTTTGTTATTGTTGTCATTATTATTTTTCATTGCTGACCTTGTTTATCAATCAAAGTAGAATGACATAGTTATTCGCTAGATAAACAACATAATATTCACATGACTGGAAGGAAAAAGTTTAAAAGTAAACATTACAAAACAAAACAGAAAAGGATTTACGCATCAACTTATTCAGTAGAATGAGCTAAACTTTAGTTGTATATTGAATCAAATGTTCTATGAATTTACTGTTTGTCTGGAATTGAAAAACATTTGTAGACAATACACCTGTCACACCCCTGTTTCGAATGTTTAAAATGGACCTGAAAGTCCTTATATGTTATGCTCTGCGATCTTGTGAATACACGTTGTTTTTATTAGCAATCATACGAACAGTGAGTAGACGATCGTAAATCTTCAGAAAAATCGTGCATTCAGTTTTTTCATTAATACTGGAGGTTGATCGTTTTCGGTTGCCAAAGTTATGTGCTTTTTTGCGATTTACTAAATTATCTTCTACTGTGGTTGTTTCGTATTGCCTAGGAAAAATGGAGGATGAATTAATTTTCTTTTTAGTTACTGAATAAATCTTGCTTTGTCTAGTATTATTACAATCACCACTGGTGCTACTACCAAGTCATCATTTCATTTTTAGTGTAGCGAAATACATAGTTGCTTAAAAACAGGAACTAGACTTAATATAGATAATCACCAAGAAAATACATATCGTTTTAATTAGTATACATTAATGTTTACGTCATCATCTACTAAATTCACTTTTATTAGTATATTTTCTTAATTCACAGACCATATTATGTGCGTGTGTGTTTCCTTTGTAGTCATCCTAATTATCAGCTGATACATCTTTTTGCACGTTAGAGGTGGATCAGGATGAAAATTTCTGAATGGTTTAGTTCTTTACTACTGATAATCATTTCAGGGAGATAACTATTTAAACTGTAGACTCCATTAATTGTTACTACGTTTTTCTCATTCTTGAAAGCTGAATACCGATGATAATAATAGATGCTACTATTAATAATAACTCTATTTACTCCTCTATGTTTGGTTAAAGAAAACAATTCTCTGCACAAAATATGCTTTTTGTAAATTGTTCCTGTTCTATTTAAAATTTATATATGTATGGTTCACTAACTGGCTGTCATTCATTTCGATACGTAGGCGTTTACTACTAACTGCTTTCACAACAATCTTTCCCATTGCATAATTTTATTGAGGTATAATTTCCAATCTAGCTTCATTTACCAACGATTTCTCTGACAGCAATCAGCTTCGTCATTTGTTGTGAACCTCTTGTTAAAATCAAAAACGTGTCAGTAGATTAGGTGGCTATCAACTGAAACGAATTAATACACAAACGTGTATTGAAAGATTTGCATATTTAAAAAATAGTGAACTCAAAAGTTTATAGCATGCCTCTACTATTGCCACACGTTTAAGTTCATGGATGACAATACCAATCGCTCCAAAGCTATTTAGACTCTTCCATCCTTATTGTAAGATTTATAGTTTTAAATTACTACTCTATACTTACATTCGGTTATTATACATTTGTTCTGACTTTTGCTCTGTTAATCATCACGTGACCAAACCGCCAATTAGAACACGACTTATAGGACCTTGGCAATGTGCCAAATCAATGACGCGTTAACCATTACGAGTAGCCTGGAGTCAACTCGGAATCCTTATTGGCCTAGCCCTGCCCATTGAGTCCAAAACATAACCTTAGCTTCCACTGTATGAACTGTATATTTCAGACATACTTGATGTACATAGAAGCAAATTAGACTATATCACACCATAGAATGAAAAATAATAATTATGCAAGATCAAGCTCCCAAATGCCCTGGTACGGCCGAGGGTGGAAAGAGTTTGCTTTCCCCCTCGAAATGCTCTCACATGTCGATGCGTATGCACTCACTGCCAGAGAAGTCCTACTCACTACCTTCTCGCTGTGGGGTGTTGCTTACGAAATCGGGAGGACGAAAGGCGAATGTCCGGCACTTTAACTGGGTTGGTTGATATAGAGGATCCACCTACGGAAGTTGGAAAATCCTGATTCCAAACCAATGGTGTACATGGGCTCCAGCATCCTAAGAGAACAAATGGTGTATGAACAAATTGTTGGTCACCGGTTACCATGGGACTGCATCTCCTGACGTCGCTCCACTGCCTTGTGGATCAGACCTTTAAGTCGAAGGCTCGGGGTGTGGGCTCCCAAGAAAACCACCTGCTTCGGTTTAGGCACCTGGGCAGTATCACAGCCCATACACAAATAAAATGAAATGACAATTATTACTGGAAATACTGTTCTCGCTCCAATTAAAGTTCAGACAACTCACATTCATTTTTATTTTTTTATATACTATGTCACTTATCTACTCTCTTTTATTCTCACTTTGTGTATCCTTGTTTTTCAATTTATATAGCAGCTCGCCTTTGGTGGAAACCCCGTTCTATCTAAACGACTTTGAGTTACCAACTAGTCGGATGTTGAATGCTACCACCGCATAAGAATACTGTAACAATCTTTCTGAAACTACGTACACCATTCAAACTGGATTCCTTCAGCGTTCGCATACTAGTGCAGATCAAACAACATATAGGGTTGGCTATGTCTTTAGAAAGTCTTAGTATCGACTTCTGTTGTCTATCCTAAACCAGTAATCAAGACTAGTTAAGTACTACAAATTTACTCTCCATCTGTCGTTTCGAAAAGCTTATTTTACGTGCATTTATCCGGGAGCACTATGGCATCTTCGTCTGGTTGTCCTGGTATTAGTGTCGCACTAAGCGCTAGAGCTGAAGCAGCACCAGTCGATTGGATCCCTATTAACAGTCGGTTATGTGCTGTTAGATTAGAGAGTCCCATCAAGATACGAAGAAATCAGCGTGAGAAACGATGTCATTTTGTCATCTCCGCCTACGCTCCAACAGATTACAGCCCAAGTGCAATCAAGAATGAGTTTTACCATCAACTAACTGTCCTTCTACAGAAAGTGCGTACGACAGATATTGTGGTACTAGCCAGAGACTTTAATGCTCAGATTGAGAGTCTAGTCACAGAATTCAGTCATTTAGGTGGTCGATGAGGACTTGTTGGTCGCAGATCAGATAACGGTGACCATCTACTGCAATTGCGTGCAGACTACAAACTGTTTCTGGCTAGCACTGACTGCCGGTACAGTCATCACCGCTGTGCTACCCGGCGTCCTCCCTCTTCTTCCCGAACCCGGACTGAGATTGATCATATCGCTATCAGCTACCTCTGGCGTAGTTGTGTATAGGACTGCTTTTCCTTTTGGACTACCTATCTAGACTCTAATGATGCTCGTATCTGCACTAGTCTTATCTTACGTTTCAGTGGCTAAAAAATTCGTCGTGCTAAATTAATCGATGTCAGCAAATTGGTTGCAGCTTCTGTTGAAACTAAATATCAAAACGAGCTAGGTTCAGGGCTAGCTACCATCCCACCAAAAAGTATAGATGAGTATTGGTTACAATTGCATGACGCCATGAAAATGGAGAGTAGAGTCTCTTTCGGCCTCGTGAAACGTCCCGCTTATAGGTACTGGGTTTCTACAGGCTCCTTACAACTCATTGAAGTCTGGAGGTCTACTCCGGGTGACCGTTAGTTTGACCACAAACAAAGGATATTACGTAATGAACTTGGACAAAGCTTGCGTGAAGACCAAGAAGCCTGGTGGTGGGAGCGTGTCAATGAGTTGGAAGCAGCAGCTAGTGTGAGCGGAACAATCTGTGAAGGTGATAGGATGCCAATCACTAACATCTATCGACGTCTTGGATGGTAGGCAGAGTTTTTCGAGGAGCAATTCAAGTGGTCTAATGCCCCAACAACATCGGTCAGGCTGCCCTGCCCTCTGTGGCCTGTGACGACTGATCCACCAAATGAGGCGGAAGTCCGCAAGGATCTCCAACTTTTGAAGCGCTACAAATCACCGGGCCCAGATGACTTACCTCCGTCTCTTTTTAAAGATGATGGTGATTTTCTGGTTAAGGAACTGACTGAGTTGTTTACAAACGTTTGGCAGTTAGAGAGTGTTCCAATATCGTGGAATGAGTCGATAGTTGTCCCTATCTTTAAAAAGGGTTCACGTCGTTTCTGTAACAACTATAAGGGAATAAGTCTTCTTCCAATTGCGTCCAAACTATTGGCTTATGTCATACTTTATATCCTGCTCTACTTAGTCTGGCTTAAGCAGCTGGGTAATATAACTAAGCCTCACACTAGAGATGTAGCTCCAAGTTAAGTACATAAATATATACCTGGTAAATGAGCTAATAATGATATCTGCAGTATATTCTAACTTTTTCTTACCATTGTTATCTGTTAGCGGGATATAGATTGGATTAAGGGATGTTCCGTGCAGGATTTGGAAAAGACTTTAGAATCTGCTTGTGTAAAATTTATAAATATAGTAACGTATTGTTTTACTTGCATTCAACCTTTGTTCATTCGAAATATAATTACGTCCCTGTTCAAATGTATTCTGATTTGAGGGAATTATCAAGTGAAATGGTGTCCAAAGAATAGTAAGCGATAAGAGTAGCTGGGTTGTTATAAGAGAGATCATAACATCATCTTATATAAATTTTTTATCTATCTATCTGTATTGTTCCAAGTCGGTATTCATAAAATTTATTTCCAAACAATTTTTGTAGCGAAAATATTCAGTGGAACCAAATCTTGTCGTTTTGGAATGGTTCATGTGCGCTTACACACGAACTTTACCTTGGACAGCTTTATTAAGAATATGGGACTTGTTCTTCTGTGATGGTATGCTAAATATTGTATATTTTTTTAATAATATTCCATATCTTCATATGTATATGGTTTATTTATTCATCATAGAACTTGACATGTGATTTACTATGAAATGGATGCGAATTCATTTTATTTATAAGTGGCTATAAATTTTACTGCAGACTACTAGACTATTCAAATGGTGTATTTAAAATCATGTAATATTTCTAAAAGCTTTTACAGTTATTATGAAGTATATACATAATGTTTATGTAACTCATCTATCAAATATGAGCTTTGAGCTACACTTATAAAACCATTTTGTAGCGAATACCTTCAGGTAACCATTCAAATTTGAGATTGCTCTTGCAAAACGTTTAGCGAAAATTAAAAGTTCAGTTAAGAATAGTATGTTAAAAAAACCTGGTTATGATTAGTTTCTAAAGTTTTTGTGTAACCACACAGTGGATTTAACGTAGTGTGCGATGTAAATGACCAGAAATGCGTGCTCCATATGCAGATTGTGTTTGAGCGTGCGTGATGTGATTCAGGGCATATTCAGGAGTAGTTTTGTGATTATAAGGTATTCTCGAATGTTTACGGAATGTTCTAACCCTTATATTTTTAAACACAACTTCTTAACCTTAACTCTTGACTGTAACCGGTCTTCTAATCCGTAATACTAATCTTTTTCCATTTATTTATCACCTTGGTACTATTAATCTGTCATAATTTTAATGTTTCTTTAACCACAAATTGATTTGTCACCAAACCCTGTTTTTTGATTGGCTAATCAACCACTTAGGGTTGTCGTTATAATATATTATCACTACATTTTCTGTTTGTTTTTGGATCAGTGAGTGTGATTCTATTTATCTGCTAGGAAGTAAAGTTAGTAAGTCGGGTTTCAAATACACTGCTCTACAAATTGTATTACAGATAAAAATAAATAAATACTAAAAACTCTAAAATGATTATTGCTTATATAATTACTGAAAAGATGCTAATCTGTATTCCTTGTGAAATCATTAACTGTTTGTAAAATGGCTTAAGTTGTTCACAATTGACTTTTACGACATTTTTTCAAAAATGTACACTGAATGATTCGATGGCAACACAAAATATGAGTCTTAGCAGGATTCGAAATTCAGTTCTGTGGGTTATTGCTTCTAGTTTACCAATTAATTTTCTAATTGACTAGTTTAAATGAAAAACTATTAGTATTGGCATTTTTTTATTTATGTAAAATATGATCTGATCAATATTTTTCCAAAAGCTATCAACTATGCTTTATTATTATTATTATTATTATTATTATTATTATTATTATTATTATTATTATTATTATTATTTGTAAGCGTTTTCTCGTTGTTGATATTCTAAACTAATTTTGAACAGTTTTTTTTTGGGGTATAGGCTCTCTAAAAGTGATCAGTACTTTCTTCACTTACAGATAATTATAGTTTGTATATTGACTAGCAGTGAGATCCATTACTCGGATTTCGTCCCATACAAACTATGGTTAATTTATGAATATCGACAGTATTTTAATGCATTCCATCAAAATGTGTCTATACGTTAACAGAAAACGATCAAACTCATTCTCTATCATCGACGGCAACCTTTGCAGTTGTTATTAAGCTCATGGTTGTTGAACTGGTTATGAGATATTTTAATTCCTTTAGCTTAGTGAACAATACTCATAACAGGTGTTTAAGATGATAAATTCTAGGTTTACGTCCTAGTGTAAACATTCACATTATGATAAATAGGTACATGTAATTTACTAGTCCTAAATAGGACGAAAAGCACTTTGTGTATCCCACTGCTAGCCACTATTGAAAATATTAAGAATTATGCTTGTTTTTTCTTTACTTCGTCCTATTGAAAACAATGTTTCAGACCAACGTATTGACAACCTTTTTATGCATGAAAGAATAAAAAGGACTTAAGTTAGCATATAGACATTTTCATATCTTGGTAATTACAACACTAATTTGCTCAAATTATCTTTTTTTTCAGTAGAAAAACTTATCAAAGTCAGCTTTCACGCATGTTAATTATATTTTTTTCGTAAGCAATAAATTAATATTTCATCTTCTTTAAATATCTTATTCACAACTATCCATCACGAGTATGAAGTCATTATAACCTGCTCTATGTGTGAAGAAACACAAATATTGTTTTTAGAAACGTAATTGCCACGAAGTCTGAACACTTGTTGCTGATAACTATGTCAGTGTTTTTTTCCTCTAAAGTAACTTTAACATAAAATATATTCTTTTTTCTCTTTTTCCCTTCTTTCTTTCTATAATTCATACTATATTCATTTTTAGTATAAGAGGATGGTAGAGGTTGTTGAATTGTATAGTTTATTTTATGGATTAACATCAACCAACCATTGAAAAACAGGAAGCGCTGGATAGATTTTTTATCCAAATATGGGACTTTGATTTGTTAGCCTGTCTATACAGTGTGTGATCTGGCCTCTTTCAGTTGATCATGTCCAGAGACTCTTTGTGTCTCATTACTGTTATCTTCGAAGAACTGCTGACATCCAGTAACAACTTGCATTAATAATGCTGGGGTTCTGCAACGTGAATTCAGGTACTATAACGATAGTTCACCATCTTCACACACCGGCTTTAATGATCTGGACATGTGTTGCGAATTCCATCTTAGTGGCTTTCACACGTGTATCATCTCCGGATGTTCGGGTGCGATGGCAAAAACAGTGAGGTGGTCGTAGTATGGGAGAATCGTTCCCAGTACGGAAATGCATTCACTCCTTATCTCCCCCTCGATCTTGAATTCCAATGTCCCTTCGTACATACCTTTACACCTTGGCATTCTAAGTCATTCCTATGGTTTAGTCTTTTTTATCAATCCTGTTACATTAGTTCGGTCTATTTTGTTATTTTCATCTCATCGTGGTAATCAGGTATGGCAACCTTGATCAGACCATATTTGTTCTAGGTTCTATGTTGATAATGTTCGTCTATCACGAAATCAAACTATATATAAATAATTATCAGACGCCTAACTAAGACTCGTGAACTGCAAACACGAGAGAACCAAGCTGGCTTTAGACCTGGTCGTGGCTGCATCGACCACATATTCACCATTCGTCAGATTCTAGAACACAGGCATACTTATCGACGTCCGACAATGGTGGTCTTTCTCGACTTAAAAGCAGCATTTGACTCGGTAGACCGCGAGATTCTGTGGCAGTGTCTGTCATTGAAAGGCGTACCCCAGAAGTACATAAACTTTGTAAAGGCTCTTTACTCGAACACTACTAGTCGAGTCAGAGCTTATGGCGAACTGTCATCTACTTTTGCAACCTCAAGTGGTGTCCGTCAAGGCTGTCCACTTTCTCTATTTCTTTTTAACTTCATCATAGATCTACTGATGGAAATAACATTCTCATCGACTGAGTTCTCGGGTATTGATCTCCTACCAGGAGGTCCACTTATCGACTTAGAATACGCAGATGACATAGTCCTGTTTGGTGAAGACGCTGACAAAATGCAGAGTCTTCTGGTAGCACTGAGCAACAATGCCAGAATGTTTGGAATGCGCTTCTCTCCCTCTAAATGCAAGTTGTTGCTTCAGGACTGGCGTACGTCAGTCAACACCTGAACTAAGGATAGGGAGTGAAGTAGTCGAACGCGTTGACATCTTCACTTATCTTGGAAGTCTGATCAGTCCTAATGGGTTGGTGTCTGACGAAATCTCAACACGGATTCGAAAAGCTCATTTGGCTTTTGCCAACTTACGTCACCTATGGCGAAGGCGAGATATCCGTCTATCAATAAAAGGACGAGTATACTGCGCGGCAGTTCGTTCTGTTTTAATTTACGGCAGCGAAACATGGCCATTAAGAGTAGAAGACACTCGTAAGCTATTAGTATTTGACCACAGATGCCTTAGAAATATTGCTGGCATCTGCTGGGATCACCGGGTAAGTAATAGTGAGGTTAGACGCAGGGTGTTAAGGAATGATGGTAAATCAGTTAATGAGGTTAAGAATTTTCATCGACTGAGATGGTTGGGCCACGTGTTACGTATGCCTGAACACCGATTACCACGACGTGCAATGCTATCCGGTGTTCGGGATGGTTGGAAGAAAGTTAGGGGCGGCCAAACCAAAACGTGGCATCAGTGATTGAAGTCACTAACTTCTAGTCTTAGTCATGTTGGTAGATGCAGACTACTTGGTGGGGGTCCGCGTGATTATCTTAACCGATGGTTGGAGACTCTTGATGACATGGCTCAGAATCGATCACAATAGCGTAGGTGTATACACTCTCTGTCTTCCCTTAAAATACGAGATTAAAATCGCTTCATATCTTTCTTTGTACGAACTAATTCTTTCTTCCTGTACTATATCTCTATATACAATCTTTCTCTTACATGCTATGAATCCGGTGTTCATCTTGTTGTGTTGATGCGGTATGGCGACCTGGACCGATGCATATATGTGCCTGGTCCTACGTTGTAGCTGACTGACTGACTGGGATCTGTCAGTTTATTATAACTTCCTGGCTTGGGATTCTAGAGATGATCGAACTCAATCTTTTGATATGTTATCAGATATAGCTCGCAATAGAGACCGATTGCGATTCTACTGTGGTTTTATTTTACATCATTCATAAAAACTGAACTTGGACTCCTATTAGAATACTACTCCTCTTCATCACCCGACCGTTGTTGCTACCTTAACGTGGTGGTCGGGCTTGCCTATCGTGATGAAGCAGCCGAGCTATACTGGCTGGAACAACCGTTCCTCAAGGTCCTACCATGTCAGACAGGTCGGTTGAAGAGCGGTAAGACTAAACGCAACAAACCTAAGGTCCGAAGGCAAAGTCATACTGCTGACTGTAGAGAGGTGTGACAGCAGTAAGGTGTTTCCCTCGGACAACCAGCATGACAGCGATGCTGCCTTCTCACAAGGAGGGGTGGGGTTAGAAAAGGTCGACCCTAAAAATGCACACCTCGCCTTATCCCACGGATATCCGTCTCCGCCGGTA